CATACAGGCCATAGTAAAATATCTTCTTTTCCTAATCTTCTTGCCTAAAATAGGGCCTGACACTTAAGAGAAGCTTTTGTCGTATATAGAATGTAGCTAGAGCACTCTTTAGAAGTACAGATGATGATTCTCTCATATACTTTGGACATATTACCATCATTAGGGGCCAGTCTTTGGAGAAGGGCATTATATTTGGAAAAGTAAGGTCAGTAAAGGAAAAGGAGATCCTCAAGGAGAAGGATCCACACAGTGATTGTAGCTATGGGCTTAGATACAGTGGAGACTGTAAGAATGGGACAAGGTGGCAGAGGGTTCTGATCTGCTGTGTGTAGTGTTTCTGTAAATTGGAGTCAACTCTTAATTACATCACGAGTTGGAATCACATTGACAGCAGTGGGGTTGACATTTGGCTGAGACTCTCATATCCATACTTTAATTTAGCCATCAGAATTTAATCTTTGGAGGTTAGACGTCATTGCTTTCTTTGGTATTGTTTGCCACTCTTTCTGTTCAGCAAGCAAGAGTATATTGCTGATTCATATTGAACTCCCTAACACTATTTATTGAGTCTCCTTTACAAAGAAATCCATAACCTCCTGAGTCTCTATTTCACTGCTTAGCATTTTCTTCCAAGCACATTATTCTCATTGATTTACACCATCTTGTTAGATTTGGCTCAGTATGTCTACCTTTTGAAGTCCTTTTAGATCGACTTCTCTTCTCCAATTAATTAGGCCAGTCTGTCCCCTGCAGAATTGGCACAGAGCACACTGACAACCCCAGCCCTGAGATTCTTGCTTCCTCTGACAAGGGCTAATTAGAAGCACAGGTAGCCTTTATGTGTTACAGGTTTTGTATCATATGAAGCTTCTATTTGACATTGGTTGTAGTTTACTCACTCATTCAGCACTCTTCCTATCTTGTAACTAGATCCCCCATTTCTGTTTATCTTCAGTTTTAAGTTAGGTTTTCTTTTTCATTTTCAGGAAAAAACTGAAGTTTTATTGCATGAGACTAGAAAACATCATGCTGAGTGAACCAACTCAGTCTTATAAGGACAAATACTGAATAAGATCATTATTATAAAAATAGAAATAACTAGTAAAACATGTGTGGGTATCCAAGGAGGAAAGGTATGGGAACAGAAGCATGAGGATGTGCAGTTTTTCTTAAGACAATATTACCCAAATTTTTCCCTAGTCTCTTAAGTCTTGTCTTCTCTTTCACATTTTGGCTTTGAATTTCATTTGTTATTTTCTTTATGCATTCTGAGTAGGTCTTTCCATTGTGGTCTTTGTCAGAATGATCTGTGGTTGTATCTAGTTCTGGTCAGTGTTAGAGGAGGAGATTGACTTCTATTTGGGCCATTAGTCCTCTGGGCTAACTGATTCCTTAGCTTTTCATTTTCTTTGTTTCTCTCTGTGCCATACAGGAAGAGAGATGAATAGTTGCTCCTTAGAAGGCCATCAAACATTTAAAGACTCAAATGTTACTCACCAAACTAGGATGTAGAATATTATCTTTAAGAATTATGTTTTGCCAGTTGACCTAGATGTCCTTTTACACTATGATCTTATGTCTTCAAGTTCAATAATTAGTCTCAAAATCTAAGTATTTTCTATAACTTCCACCTCTATGTTTTGTTCTTTATATTAGTACACATACAGTATTCACAGAGAGAGAAATATCTACAACCATACTTTGTATTTGCATGGAGTATCTGTTGTTCATAGGGTTTCTCTCTGAGTTGTACTCAACTTGATGGCCCCTAGCAACTCCTATATGGCCTTCCTCACATATTTAGTATACATAATTTCCTGTTACTATTCACAAATTTTTATTTGTTGTTACCATTATCACTACTTTATTTACATTATTAAAAAGTAGATTACATTATTATTATTAGAATTGTATACATTGTAGCATTAACTGTAATTGTCCTTTCTTTTTATGTATCTCATTGTGCCTTCCTTTATTTTTGTGTATCTCCCCCTGTCTTCTTTGCCTGATCACATTGTGCTGACTGTCCCGATACGGTGTATAGCCCTTTTATTTACTAAAATTAACACTTGTTATACTGTCGAGTTAATGATTCTCCTTCACTCCCCCAACTATCCTGAGAAGCCATTAAAGAATGTTTTTCTTATTGTATAAACCTATACTTGACTTTTTATAATAGTGGCTTCATGTAATATTTGCCTTTTTGTGATCTACTCAGTCTAATATCTTCTCATATATGTTGTGAGATGTTTCACAGATTTCAACACTAGTCCTTAAGGTTGCACGGTATTCCATTTTATGTATGAACCATAGTTTGCCCATTGATCCAATGATGAACAGTTAGGTTGTTTCTCTCTTTGTTATTATGAAGAATGTTATAATAAACAAGGATGGACTTATGTTCACTCCTGTTATTTTTAAGGATGCATACCTAGGTGAAATCTTTGTTACTGGTGTGTTAAATTCCAAAAGGGTTTCACATCTTGGACAGGTTTTGGTGGAGCTCCCTGATTAAGACAGACTAGGAAGCAGGATGGGTTTCTACTTCCTACATAAAAGTTAATTGGTTTCCTAAACTTAATCCATGATAAAGGAGAGAACGACTTTTGGGCTTTTGAAAGCCCAGATTGGAAGTCAGTTGATTGGAAGTCAGTTGATTGATGTGGTGACTGAGTGTTAGAGTCACTTTTGAGTGTTAGAAAGTGTGAGGATGGCACAAACAAGACTGGGTTCAGACCTTATGTTCAGAGGATCGCTATGAGTCATACTCAACTTGACAGAACCTAAAAACAACATAGTATTTTAATATATGGTTTTCCATACTGGTTATACCATTTTGAAATCTCACCAGTAGTATAGGAGAATTTCTGTCTCCTCCTAGACTCATTTGTTTTCATTGTATTTCTTTTTCTTCTTTTTTACTGGTGCCTTTATTGCCAAAGTGAAAAAAAAGTATTTTTGCATGGCTTGTTTTAGTAACAAATGTACCCCACATGGAATCAACATTCACCATCTAATACCATAGTGCATGGCAAAACAAACAAGAAATTCAATCCCAGATTGAATAGTGCTTTGGAATTTAAAATATTTTCTTAGAAAAGGCCTATTTCCTAATTATACTGTTTGGGAAAAGGTAAAGTAATGTCAGGACTTGACTTAGTGTGTGTGGGTGCACACTTTCATAGAATACTAAAGCAAATGCTTAAATTGTGTCCCATGGACAATCTGAAGAGCTGTGGTGTATACTTAATTATATATATATAAAATTTGAATATATATTTAACATTTATATAATAGATTCATATTTTTTTTTCTCTAGAAAATGGCTTTTTTTCTTTGTCCTTATTTACTTTTTACTTCCAATATTCAATACTAAAGTTTTCTCTGCAAAGACATTATTTATTGGATGGAAGTTAGCTCCTTAAATATAGACTGACATATCGAGATCTTTCTGTTTACTCACTCTCTGACACACTAAGCCCCTGTTCATGGAGATTATAGGTTAGTGGGTGGCATTTATCAAGTTAGTTTATTAGACCAGGACATTAAACAAATCTCTCTTTTATCATGGATTAGGTTTAGGAAACCAATTGACTCAGTATTTTCTGCAATTGGGTACTTTCCTAAAAGATGCATATTTATCCACGCACTTTTTGGTAAGATGTTTGTGTATTGTTGTACTTTAAAGTGATGCAAAACCTCTCTCTCTCCTCCCCTTGGTCCCCTCCCTGCCCTCTTTCCCCTTTTTCTTAATCTCACTTTTTCTGTGTCTGCTCTAGTCAGGCCCCCTTCTGAGATAGGAATCTCATAACTATTTACTATTGAGATCAATTCCTCAAAATTACTTAGGAAATAAAACTGCTGCCATTTTTTTTGGTGTGCTCTCATCTTCATTTTCATTCCATGTTAAGAATAAACACTTAAGTTTATTTAACTGAAGGAGTCAGTTTATCAGTTAATCCTTTCGTTATTTTTTGCTTTGATAATTAGTTCCATGGCTGTTCTTTTTCATTAGCATGTGCAGTTGTATTTTAGCTTATAGCCTTTCTTTTTGAAAGTTAATGAGGTCTGCTAAGAGGCATATTGCCACAGCAATAGCCAATTGGCTGGAATGCAGCAGCAGGGGGAAAATTCATTACCGAAGAGAGTTCTAAAAGGGCAGCTGCTTCCTTAATGCTCTCGCCATTAAGATGGCAGTTTACTGCCATAACAGTCGCGTGTTTCATTGACTTTCCTCCTTCTAGGTTTCATGTTGTTTCCTAATGATGAATTGAGGTGTAATTTTCACCTGCTAGCTATCAAGAGAATGTGTAAGAGGTTTTCATATTATTTGCTTTCCTAATCAAATCGTTGCTTCCTAAAACAAGATGGATTCTTACTCTATAAAAATATTCATATCATTTTATGAAGCTGTCAGATGAAGGGTGATTTTATCTGGATGTTCTCATTGTAAATGCAATAAAAATCAGATTCACTTTTTCATTCCTTCCCCCCACCCCGTTATCTTAAACATAAGATGATGGTTAAAAACAATAGATATTTATACTGAATTTGTTTCACTTTAAGAAAGAAAAAAATAAGTTTTCTAGCATTTCTGTGTGGGTTTTTTTTCTCACAACAATGATTGAAATAGAAGTTTTTCTGCATCTGGAGTGTGGGTGTGTACATTTACTCTCTATGAGGAATTCTCGGTATCTAAAAAAAATTGCTCCATTGTGAAGAGGAGCACTTATGTCTGTTACAAGCTATGGTCTATTTAGAGTCCCCTGCTATTCACTATTCTCTTTAGAAAACCAGAAGGGATTGTTCCTCACTCTTATGTAAAACGGTACCATAAATATTTCTTTTTTCTAAATGTGCAACATTCTCAGTTCATAAATTCCTTGATGTAGGGAAGATAATCATGCATCCACGAGAAAGTAATAGTGAAGAAAACACAAAGGAGACTGTCATGTGCGTATTTGTTAATAACTCTCTGACATTGGCTTTATCCTTTGCAGATCTCAATCAGTGGTGGACCCTGCAGTACTAAAACGCATGGATAAAAATGAGGAAGAAAACATGCAACCTTTGCTCTCTCTGGACTGATAGTCTGTACTCCCTGTGGATTAAAATTGGAAGGTAGTAGTTTTCAGCAACAAGGACAGCACTGCGGAAGATTTAGCAGCTGAAAACCTATTTATTCATGTTAATGTAGCATAATATATAATAAGGTGTCAGGCTTGTCCATTCGCCTGAACCATGGGTGCCCTGAGATGGATTTTTAAAAAGTCAATAATTTATTCTGTTAAGTGCCAAGTTCTTTGTAAATACAATGTAATCTTCATGTCAAGTTTGTAAATTTTGGTAGTATCTTACTTCGAAAAAGATTGGCTTATGAGTCCATGTTGGTGATCTGAATTATAAAAACAGAGAAGACTCATAAAAGATCAAAGTGAATTACACACAGCCCTGTTCCCTATGAAGCCATATTTCAACAATCATTATTCTTCTCTGAAACTCTGTCAGTATTCAGATGTTCTTTTAATGGGCACAGGGAACGAGATGATTCTAGGAAATTATTATGATAAATGTATTTCCTGTCTAGTGATTTTCATTTCACAGAAAATGTGTCCTGTCGGCTATCATTTACCTTGCATTTTGGAGACAAGGAATGGCAGAGGATCTAGTAAAATGAACACATGAACTGTTCTATGTTGTTTAAGTCCTGGAGTGTTGCAAAAAAAAAAAAAATTATTCACCCAATTAATATGGGGAATTTATGAAGAGAATGAGTTCTTTTTAAACTGCTATCTTTACAATGTGCCCTTTATTCAGTACCCCTTTGTGTCTCTGTTTGATGTTAACAAATTTCCCCAAAACACCCTTCCACCAAGAGAAAAAAGAACTCATTTATGAAAAGTATTTTAACAGCTAATTTCAACAAAAAATATGACACTTACAGATAAGGGGCTAATTTCTGATTCTTCTACACTGGTTGAAAAGTATATATTCAGACATGCATACATATTTTATTGAGATCTAAGCAATCTTTCCTGTGACAGGCTTTAAAAAAGTAAATTGTACATATTCAACTGCCTTTCAGTTGTTTTAGATCATTACATGAAGTACCAACCCTGGAAAACTATGTTAATGAAAAGGCTGTGTAGTTAAATAGACCTTCATTGAATTGATTTCAAGAATTCCAATTTAATTTGTAATGCAGTCTCCAGTTTGTTCAATTTTAGTTAAATATATTTATTTATAAAGAAGCAACAGATCTCAACCTAGAGTGAATAAGAGTAAACTGTTTTTCCCTCAAATTCAATTCAATCTTCTTTTATTCTGTATGGGCACAATTTCTTTCCAGAAAAAAGAAAATCTGTGAAGATTAGAAGATATAACAAAAATATCCAAAAGCATCTGCAATAGCATATATAAGAACTTGGAATCCTTATTGTTATTTCATAAAAATCTTGTTATTTCAAGTTTTATGAAACTTGGAATTTCATAAAAATTATTTCATTTTCAAACTCATGCTTGAAATTTCAAATTTTAATGTGAAAAAACAAGGGTTTTGCCACCTTTGTGAGTGATGAAATTTGAGATTGAACAGTTACCATTAAAATATTTTCTTAAAAATACTCAAGGAACTGTTGGAAACCAACAGATGGTAAGGTGTGTAGGAGCATTTACACACTGTAGCCAAATGCTTCAGAAATTTTGATTATAATTTTACATCCAGAAATCATAATAGCAAGATCAGTACCTCAGTTGGAATGTCTCTATGGACTATACAGTGTTTGTAAAAATACATCAGTTAATCTAAATGAAAGATACCTTAAGAATGCCAAACTCCAATCAAGAGCAGAACAATAATGGCAGTTGTGTACTCTGTTCTGCCTGTGGATACCATAGGGCTTAGAATTGTTGGATATTTCTAGCCACAATTCTCATCTTCAAAAGGACTCATCACTGGTGGTTTTATTTTACTTTTTTTAGGGGGAGGTGGGGTTTGCCTACCTACTACACATTTTATAGCAATGAGCTTTATATACTATATAAATAAGTACTAGGCAGTATGATGCACTGGACTAAATTAGAAGCAACCTGGGTACAGAAAGACAACTTTCAGCTTCTCATCTTCAGGAGTTTGTCTTGATGTGCACCATTGCTAACTTTCAGAATTCTACCAATTTCAAACACCAACCAGCTTAGCCAGCTGTTTTCCCCAACCATAAAATTTATGTCATACATTAGGAAGTGGATGCCACTCCTGCTTCCAAATAGAAATAATAAGAAATTTATATTTTATGTGTATACCAATCTCATGAAATCTAATCGTATCATTCACACAATCTTCCTACCCTATGTTGGAAACTTCTTGATTCTCTATTTCTCTTCTTCAAATAAGCAGTCAAGATTTGACTGGATTGTGTAAAATATTTCAAAAGTGAATGAACAAAACAATACCGTGATACCTTTTGAAATTGCTATTTCTAGTTCAATCTGCGAATGAGCTCATTTTCCGGTAATGCTTTTGAAGCTGCTTGGCCAAAGGATATTTGGTCAACTTTATAAATGTTTCCCTTCAGCAACAGCTAAATAGCTGTGCTTAAGAGTTATTTTTCTCTTCTGTGACTGTCTGTGTCTTATAGCTCTGGCTGTTCTTAAATAACCTGATATATGTAAATAAGCACCCTTATAACCTTTCATTTTAATTGAAATAGTACACCTCTGCTCACACATATATTAGACTATATTTACCTTTCTCCCAAAAGCTATGCTCTGCTTTTTCAATTGTGCTATGCTCTGCTTTTTTCAGTTGTGTTGCCATTCAGTTTGCAGATTTCAAGTATTTTCACATTTGATTTTGAATTAGCCAGTAATCAGTTTACTTTTGTCAGCTCGCCTGCTCCATTTTTTATTACATCTTTTCTTTCTTCCATCTTCTATTTATCACATATTTTTTCCAGTTGCTTCAGGGGGATGCTGCTTCCAAAGCTGGTTTAAAAATAAATAACTTCTCTTATCAAGTTGTCAGTGATTTTTGCACACGTTTTGACTGCTACTTAGAAAGAGATTGTCATGAAAATACACTCTAAGAAATATGAAGAAGTGCCTCTTTAAAAATGGAATAAAGCAGTGATACTGGAATTTAAATATTATTTGTACTCTTCCCCAAAAAGGAAATGCATACATCTTTATTATAAGAGTGAAATATAGATACCATTTGAAGAAGAATATTTGAAGCCTTGTTTTAAGTGTTCTCATATAGTATTCTTTATTGTGTCCAATATAATACTTTCATAGATGTTATTGACAAACTCCGCACCATATGCAAATATTAAATAGAATTCTGCAAGCAAAATTTTGTAATGGAAATGCATGGTTTTGTTTCTATAATTATTTGAATAATTACAGACAGCAATGCTCTTTAAGTCTTTTCATATAAAATGTTTGTTTACTTTGCAGTATTAAAAATTCACACATTCATACATTGGAAAGCCAAGTGTTTAGATTGTCTTACTATTGTTAACTAGTCATACTGCTAAACATTTGAGTTTCTGTAATATTCTTGAAGGAAGAAAAGTCCACTTTATTGCATTAAGAAAATGGAGAATTATTTTAGATTTTCAAGAACACATCTCTAACTTTTCAGGAAAAAAAATCTTTGAAGTGATGGTAGTCTGTCTTCAGGGACAGATTTCCTTTTCTTTGTTGTTATGTGCCATCAATTTGCCTGCGACTCATAACGACCCTATGTACAATAGCTCTGAAACTTGCCCTATTCTGAACCAATTTTATCATCTCCAACAGGCCTAATCCAATTTCTCCAGTCCTAGACAGAATTTTCTGCCTCTGGTGCCATGTCTGCTAGTCTACTCTAAACATGCTCTATTGTACATAGGGTTTTCTGAGGCCTGTTTTTTTTTTTTTGTTTTCTTTTTTTTTTTTTAAGAATGGATGGAAAATCCTTCTCCCTTCTCTGCCTTAATTTGCATGCTCAACTCTTAAGCCAATATTTGTTTACGTACATGTCTATGATCCTTAGAATAACCTTTATTAAGAAAACTTGCTGGGAGGTTGTATTATCTGCTACTGTTTTATCTAAATTTTTAATTTGTCTGGTTGGTTAATATCTCTTTGCTTCTTATTTTGTCTACAATAATGAGTGATAGCTGAAATGCCCTAGTTATGGATACACTTTAGAAAGTTTTCCCACACACAAAATAAAATGAAGAGGGTTTTAGGATGACATTTATACTTTCTAATACGGTATTTAGGCAGTTATGGTGGCATAGTCAGTAGTAATCTTGCCATTCAAAGTTACAGGTTTAGAGGTTCAGTCATATTTGTTTTGGAATTAGTAAAGAGTTTGGCTGTTAACCAAAAGACTGCACCTTTGGCAGTTAAACCCACTAGCAGTTCCTTGAGAGAAAAACTTTTCCTGTGTAATTTACAACTGTAGCTAAGTGTTGTCCCTGATTCAATGGCAATGAGAAGAGAGAGAGGGAGAGATAATATTTATATCTACAACATGAAAAAATTACTATGTATTTTATAAGTGCTGTGTAGATACATACTTTAATAAATAATGATGCATTTTAAGTTTATAAGGTCACTGGATCAGGCAAGAAAGAACAGATTATATGTTAAATAAAACCAAACCCCAACAAACCAGGTAACTGTAGGTCTGTCTTATATATATATAAGTAGAAGATTGGCTAAGTATTCCAGGTATTTAAACTTCAGTGGTAAAGATGATTTTTATTTAAAGCTAAACCAAATCAAGCCTGGCACTCCAATATATTTAATTACATTAAATCTTTGACACTATTTAGTATTTGAAAGGGAATAAGTAAGTAAAATAGTGGTAAGAAACTGCACTGCAGTCCTGAAGGTATGTGGTTCGAATCTGTAGGTCAAGGATAGGCAACCCACTAGGGTCAAGGATAGGCAACCCACTAGAGGGTCAATTATGGGTTGGCTCTGTTCTACACAACAAAAACAACAATAATATGATATCAGAAGGATGTTGCTGTTATGTGCCATTGAGACATTGCTACTCTTAAAGACCCTAAGCACAACAGCTCTGAAATCTGTTCTATCCTCAGCCAATCTCACTGTATCTAACACTCCTAACTCCACTATGCCAGTTACTGTGTCAGTCCATCTGGTCTTGGATCTCCCTCTTCTGCACCATCCCCACACCCTTACAAACACTTCTCCAAAGTCTGGTCTCTCCTGGTAACAAGCCCAAAGTATATGAAATGGAACTTCAAAATCTTTGCTTCCAAGGAGCAACTCGGTTTCATCATCTCCAGGACAGACCTGTTTCTTCTCTTGGCAGTCAATAGTATGTATGTTCAATGTTCTTCACCTGCATTACAACTGAAAGGCATTGATTTTTCTTCTGTTAATCCTTATTCATTGCCCGGCTCTTTGATGCATAGCAAGTAATTGCAATGACAATGGCCTGGATCAGACACAACTTAGTCTCTAGACTGACATTGTTGCTCTCTATATTACTCTGGAGAGGTCCCTGGCAGCAGATTTCCCCAGTGCAATTTGTCTTTTCATTTCCTGACTGCTGGTGTAGTGTTGATTGTGGACCTGAGCAAGCTGAAATTGTTAACAATCTCAATCTTATCTCCCTCTATCATGGTGCTACCAATGGGTCCAGTGGTCAGAATCTTTGTTTCCTTGATGTTGAGCTTCAATCCATAATG